AGGTTTCTACTGAAAGTCAGCTTCAGTGGAAAATGCTGACGAGCTCTATTATTGGCACAGCTTTAATTTTCCTTTGTCTGGAACAGACACGGAGAAGACAGCATCTGTCAAACGCAGTCTTTAGTTTTACATTATTATTTAGCCTGGAATATTGTTCAAGGACTTCAGGATAGGTTTGAGCCATCACATAACTGGATGCTGTGCACACCAACCAAAGCTGGCCCTTTCCCTGGAGGGGTTAGGATTTAAGCACGAGCCATGGAGAAGATAAACAGCTGGGGAGAGCACAAGGTAATTTTGGAGGGGTCCTGGGCAGCGTGATGAGCAAAGGGACGCTGTGCTTCCCCTTGCACCTGCTCTCCCCCCAAGGCTTTGTGCTCAGCCTCACGGCAGCTGGGCAGGCTCACAGCTCCCCCAGGGCAGCCTGACTCTGCCATGGCTCCAGAGGCAGCTGCAGAGGAGGGGAGAGACAAGTCCTGCTCTCCTCGCCCAACCTCCAGCCCAAATGATCCCTAGGGTGGAGAGGAGAAAGCCGAGCAAGTAATTCCTGCAGCCCTCAGACACTGCAATCCGGTCTCCTCCTCACCATGGAGAGGGACACGCTCTGCCACCCTGCCCCTTGCAGCCCACGTGTGCTGAGGGATGGAGTCAGACAAGCAGGATCACAGAATCCAGGTTTGGCTTGGAAGAGACCTCAGATCATCTCACTCCAGCCCCCTGCCAGGGCAGGGACACCTTCCACTGTCCCAGGCTGCTCCAGGCTCCATCCAACCTGGCCTTGGACACTTCCAGGGATGGGGCAGCCACAGCTTCTCAGGGTCTCACCACCCTCACAGGGGAGAATTTCTTCCCAAAATCTAATTTAAACCTGCTCTCTTTCAATTTAAAGCTATTTCTCCTTGTCCTATCACCACATGCCCTTGTTAAAAATACCTTTATTCCAATTATTTTAACTTACACTGCATTTTTGCCCAGATCCATCTTTTCTATGGCATCCCACTGCCAGTCTGCCACACTCCCCTTCTGCCCTCACTCCTCACATGCCCTGCATCATTTTATGCCTCAATCAAACCAATACAAGCACTTCAGGAGAGTAGTGAGAGAAGGATCTGTGCTGGTTTCAAAGAGTTTCCAGAATTGGTTATCCTCTTCTGTAAGAGATTAAAAAGGAATCACTAAGAAAGGAGCAAGGCAGAAAGAGAGCATGAGGAAATAAATAAATAAATGGATAAATAAATAAATAAATGGATAAATAAATAAATAAATAAATGTATATAGTTACTTTTGGTTAGTCTCAATGTGCAGTCCCATCCCAGGGCGCCTTGTTCTGTGCTCATTTGAAGTATTAGTCACTTTTTCCATTAGAAGCTGTTATTCTAGGGGGATTTATAATGTATCTGTAAAATTGTCTCCAGGCTTTGCTTGGCATCTGAGCTCTCAATCCATGGACAGAATGTAAAGAAACTACAGTTGATGATTTATAGGGACAGGGCACAGGGAGCCAGGGAATTTTTCCATGCTCAGTGGAAATAAATTCACATCATGCCTCCGGTGCACAGGCACTTACTGCTCCAGAAAATTCACCAGTTGGGTGCAATCTCACACTGGCCGAGAGGAAAGCAGCAAATCAATGATTATTTCATATCTCCCTGCCTGAGACCCAGCCCTGCTCTGTGGCTCCTCACCAGGACCCACCCAGCCCAATGGCAGGTGTGACAGCCTCACTCCATTCGGGTTCAGAAATCCTGCCCTTAGCAAACCTTTTTCAATTCTAATTCCTACACGGGGCATTTCTTTACCCACTACAGAGGCTCCCTGACAGAGAACCTCATGATTTTTTTCCTGGGGAGGCCTATGGCTCATTTAAACTGCTCTTGTTTCTTAATACGCATCTGCCCAAAGGTTGGGAGGGATGAGGAAGGGCTGGTGATCTGATACAGGTGGCAACAGCTCCTGGATGGCAGAGGTGTTTGGGAAAAGCGAGAATGGGGAGGTGACAACCTTTGGGAATCACAAACCCTGGAAAAACACGCCAACACTTTGCTGATGGTCCTTCTCCTTGCCATCCATGGCTGAGGATAAACCCTTTTGCAGGGCAGCCCTGACCTGGGCCAACTTTCACCCAAACTGCTGCTGGAGGTAGGGCTGGACTGGGAAAAATGGAAGGATTAGGGACAGGGATGCACACCAGGACAGAGGAAGGGAGAGCCAGAACCTTCTTGCAGCTTCCCTGCAGCACTGCTCAGCAAAGCACCAAGCGTAACGTGGACGCTTCAAGGAAACAATAATCTAAAATTGGAGCACGGCAAATTATTTATTCAAACTACAGCCTTCCCTCCCCCCTTGATTAGCAAACCGCTGGGGAGTCAGCCCTGATTTTCTTCAGACAGATGCAAACGCTCTCCTCCTCTCCCTGTGCCACGGGGCTCAGCCCGTGGGGGCTGAGGAGCTCGTTGGTATTCGCATTGTGCAGCAGCTCCTTCAATTCACACGTTGGTTGTTCTGCTCTCCGGCTGGAGCACAAACTTTTTCTTTGGGAGCCCACACTGCAAATGATGAATTTGTTTGTTTTCTGCCTTTTTTTTTTTTTTTCCCCCCCCCAGGAAAACATTTAGACTGCAGTGTGCAAACTCTCCCCACACGCTCACTCAACTACTTGCACCTAATAATAAAACAATCTATATGAAGCATTGCAACTCACATCACTGAGTCGAGTTTTTTTGGGGGTTGTTCATGTTTCCATTCATCATTTATATAAAAAGCCGTGTGAAGCTCTGAGGAACAGACAAGAGAACACGTAGCAGATCTCAGGAGTGTGCTGTAGAACTGAAGTGGGAGATCCCAGCACCAAAATCCTCTCCCCACTTAACTCAGAGGCAAAACGTCCACACAAGAGCCAAAATTTCACCCCTGGGACTTGGGCAGTGGGAGACCCAGAGCTTGGCAACAAACAGGGAAGGCTGTGAAGGGTTCAAAGTATCAGATGAAGCTGAGCAGAGACATGAGAGGAACAAAGGAAGTTCACGTCATTATAATTTATTGATGATCTTGGCCTGATTGCTTCAGTGTTTTGTCTTAGCAGAGCCCACCCTGGGCAGCAGCGAGTCCTGCACGTCACTCGGCCGTGCGGATGTGGAAGTGATGTGATGATTTACAGACAAAGTTTGCTTAATTAAATAATCAAGTAAATAACAAAGCACCATCAAAGCTGGATCTCACCCTCACCCAAGCTCTTGCTGGGAACTGGCCAGGATCTCCTGACCTCACCCCCACCAGAGCACAGCTCCAGAAATTCCCTCACCATAGTTCACATTTTTCCAGCTCTACCAATTCACCCAGCAAGCGCCATGGGAAATCGCTGCAGCTTGAGGCATCCAAACTTGCTGAAGAATGAGCCAAACTGATTCTTTTCTTCAAGGAGGAGGGTCTTAGGGAAAATAAAATGCTGGGGGTTCTTTGTCCCCGTATCTTGGATACAAGAAAACTCCCACGCTTGTCAGAAATCAGAGCAGCACCAGCAGCTCATGGCTTTTTCTTTTTTTCTTTTTCTTTTTCTCATTCCCTCCCTTTTATTTTCCCCCAGTGTGTGAGTGTGTGCTTAGAGCAGGATGACATAGTGATGGGTTTAAGAGACAGTGAGCGCTGAGACACCAATTTCTAACGCAATACAGGGTGCAGCTTCTTTCCTATGTGATCACGGGTGAAAAATCAAAAGAAATAATCCAGGAGACTAAATACACTCCCCAGCCATTCAACTCGCTCATAAATATGCTGAGCAAGATGCTTTGTGCAAGAAAACCCCATCACTCCTATTCTGTATTTTGTTTAACGATGAGTCAAATCCTCCACATTCACCTTCCAATTTTGCTAGTCTGGGTTCACAGGGGTGCATTCCCACCCTCTTCCCTTGCAATTTTAGGCCGCTGGGTATCATTTCAAAACTAGCAGGTTCCCAGTTTTCCTCTCCCATCTTCAGTCCTGCTCCCTAACTCTTTGCAAGAAAAGAAACATTGTCACAGCACCAAACTCCAAAACAAAGAGTTTTAACTAAACTCACCCCTTGGCACCAGCAAACTATTCAAAAGAACTTCGCAGGAAGCCTGCCCTTTCCTGCGCGCTGCTAACGCTCCAAAATAAAGCAAATTTGGGACACGGCAATGAAATTAAAACCCTAGATGCTGTCATTTCCTTTTTAAGGCTGGAGGAGCCCTGGAGCACATTAGCTATTGACAAGAAGGGGACCCTCCAGATCCAGGCTGGATGAGCAGACACTCAGGGAACAACCAGACCTTTGTTTACCATCAATGCAGATGTCATAAGGACCAGGAACCCGCACCCACCAAGGACCGACCCGTGCCTACCAGGGACCGCACTCTCCGCACACTGGGAAGTTTATTCCTACATAAATACATCCGTATTAACAGGCACATTCTATCTAAGCACTTCATCCCGAGGAGGTTTGAAATAATTCCGTCCGAGCCAGCACAGACCCCAGCAGGGTGGGATGCGGGAGACCAGGGCGGGATGCGGGTGAACCTCTCCGTGAAAGAGGCTGAAGGCACCGGTGGGTTTATTATGCACGTATGAAGTTTGCTTCGGGTTGCAACATCGCCACCGAGCCGCCGGGACTCCTCTCAAAGAGTAATTATTTTCTTCTTTTTTTCAGTTGTATTTTATAAACACCAACTTATTCATTGAAAACTACTTTTTCCCCCCTTTCTTTTTTTTTTTTTTTTTTTTTTTTTTTTTTTTTTCTTTTTTTTTTTTTTTTTTTTTTTTTTTTTGAGTTCTAAGCACCGGTAAATCCCATTTGGCACGGCACAGCGTCCCCGGTGCGCAGCCCGACATCCCTCCACCTTGCTGCTCCGAGCCGAAGTTGCGGCGGAGCGCAGCCCTGCCCGGGGCAGCGGGCACCGGGGCGCTTTTGTTCGCGGCCCCGTCCCGAGCAGCCGAACCCGCAGGTCCCCGCGGTCCCCCCGATGCCGAGCGCCTCCACTCACCAGCTGCAAAGTGCAGAGGAAGATGAGGGTGCAGCGGCCGGTGCAGCATCCCATGGTCCCCGAGCGGCGGGGCAGGGCAGGGGCAGCCCGCTGGCCGCCGCCCTGGGGCTCCGCTCCGCTCGGCGCCCGCGGAGGTCGCTCGGTGTCGCTCGGTCGGTGCCGGCTGCCGGAGCCCCTCCGGGAGCCGGGGAGGAGGCGAGCGGGGCCACAGCTTAAAAGGGCAACGCTCCGGCGGCGCTGCCGTCCCGCAGGCTGGGCGGGCTGGCGGGGCGGGGGCTGCCGCCAACGCCGGGATGCGCCCCCCGGGCCGCCGCAGGCGCGCTGGGATGCTCCGGCCCCGGCCCCGGCCCTCCCCCGGGAGGCGGGGGCAGCTCCGATTCCCCGGACGGGGCAGCCACTTGTTTTCCTCTTGGCCGGACGCGGGAGTGGGCGGTCAGTGCCGGGGCTGGCCAGGTGTGCGTGCAGAACACGCGGTCTGTGCAGCTCCTCTCCTCTTCCCACATATGCGCCCCCGTGCAGGTGATGTGGAGCTCCTCTCCTCTTCCCACTCGGTCTGTGGAACTCCTCTCCTCTTCCCACTCGGTCTGTGGAGCTCCTCTCCTCTTCCCACACGGTCTGTGGAAGCTCCTCTCCTCTTCCCACATATTTTCCCCCGTGCAGGTGCTGGCATGTTCACCCTGAGCATTATGAAGCACCAAAGTAACCTAAAATGCAATGGTTTTTCTCATAATTTTTTTAAATATTTTTTTTTTTTTTGTCAGAGTGGATGCACACGGAAAACAAACTCCTAAAGGGCGATAAGACACAGGATTGTTTAAAATGCACGTTTTTTGGTATTTTACAGTGTACCCAGGCTTGAGAAGGAATCCCAGCTGACTGGGAGCAGAGGGATGTAGGAGAGCATCACTCTACTTCCAAAAGTGCTTCTATCTGAGCACCTTGTACGCACCACTCGCTGTACCCTGCAGCTGCAGAAAAGCCAGGCAGTAGACTTTAATTTTGAACAGCAGAGCAAGGCCACAAACACACAACCATCTCCTTTACGTGCCCGAGTCCTTCCCATTGCCTCCCCTGCCGAAGGAGAAGCAGGATCCCGAAGGCACGGCTCTGCCAGCCACCCTGTGCACACATTTGTGGCCGGCCTGAGGAGCAGGTCTCACACCACACACTGTGAGTGGGACAGACTTGCTGCTCAGCTCAGCACAACACGATAAGAAGCTTTGGGACAGCCTCATCTGGTGACAAGGTCGTCTCTTTGCAATCTCCGGTGGCTCTGGAGTCTGCACAACAGTTTGTTCTGTCGCCTCTGGCTGTCCCTTCTTCCTCTGAAGCAAGTTAGGGTTTCATTTCTGCCTCCCAGGCAGGGTGTGACTCCCCACCAGCAGTGATCAGCCCCACTTCCAGTTTAAATAAGCACGGCCTGCTGCTCCTTGCAGAGGGGTGAGAAGGAGGTGGCAGCTGAAATCAGAGCAGCTCTATCATTTCACTCGAGGAAAGCACTGCCTGCCTATATCCGAAGGAAGCAGGATTGGTCCTCAAGTGCTAGGAATGTTTAAAACCTTTTATTAACAACATTATTGTTATTCACATCAGCCACAGTGAGAAACAGAACAAACAAACAAAGTCTGAATACCTGAGATTAGAAGGCAGACTCTGAATTGATCACAAACCCTTCTGGTTTTAAATTGTAAAATATATTGATTATCTGACCTGTCCACTGTACATAACCAAGCCATCAATTAATGCAGTCAGGTACAATAAAACACATTTTATTATAGGTGAAAGGAAAACACGCAGAGAGAAAGCACCCAGAGAAGAAACCAATTTATTTCACCCAGAAAACTGTGGACTGAGGAAGCTTTGGCAGTATTCACATTCCCCAGAAGATGGATTCTGAATGGAAAAGGCAACGGAGCAAAGATCAGTTTATTTTTTCATGAATGCAGATAACATTCCTTACAAACTGCACAGGGAGGTCTCACTCTGCACTGTAGGGTCAGGCAACTGACATCAGAATTAGAACAGGAGCTCAAGTTGGCCAAAAGCAGCCTGGGGTTAGGCTGGACTTGTTACATGCTCAGGAAACTGCTGGGAACAGCAGGGGAAAGCTGGGATACAGCCATGAACGTTAGAACCTGGCTTTTGTGCCGGTTCTTAAGGTTTTCTGCATCTCTTGTTCCACCTCCTGCTTCTAAAAACCTCCTGTAGGCATTGCTATTTTCCAGCTCAGTTGTACTGCAAAGGAGACACAGTGTGAAACAGCAAAAGGTATTGCTGCTGAAGGGCTAAGCTTGACAGAAATAGGATTTTTTCCACCTGCACTTTTATCTTGATAAGCTGTGCAGAAAGCAAGCATGGCTTGGCCAGGACTCCACATGCCTGTGAAGGAAAACAGACTTTCCTGAGTTTTTTTAAGGGTGAGGCCACAGGAATAACACAACCTGTATTTCAAAGAGAGACTTAAAACTCCCAGAGCCTGATATTATAATCTTAATTGATATGATTTCTTACCTTTGTATATGACCATCTGAATTCCTGCATGAGTGCTGCAGGACCACACATCTACCTTGAAAGTTTAAGTCCTAAAAACAACTACAACTTTAATTTAGCAAAA